GTAGTTGAAACGATTATCCTTAAATTAGTACAATGACACCACAGGACTAAAAAGAAATTAACTCTTATTATTACTAACATTTCAAATTTTGCCTAAGCATACTGGAACTGTTTAGGATTGTAAACGAGCCCGTTTACAACAGTGTCGAGCTCGAGCTTGAGCCTGGCGAGCCTCAGAATTGAGACTCGAACTCGAGCTCGGTCGAGTTTGAGTGGAGCTCGAGCCGGCTCGCGCCCTTAATCCCTAAATTTTAAAAAATGACAACCCCCCCCCCCCCCCCTCCCCCCCCGATTTTTTAATCCCTAAAACCAGTAAACCACAACACTTTCTCATTTGCTGTAACTCTTTGCCGTAATCCCCAAAATTTCATCAATCTCCACCATGGTTTGTCGGTAGCACCAACACACCTCCCAATCGCCGTCAACTCTTTGCCGTGAACCACGTCTTCTTCATCGGATTTGCATCGTAGATCTGTCGCCGTCAGACCCATTGAACTCTCGCCAACGCTTGGCCGCGATTCCTGGTTTATTTTATTCCCATGGCTTGAAGGCGTTTCAGGTTGATTGAAAGTTGTTGAATGATACTCTTCGTCTGATTTCGCAAACTCTAACAGTTAGACGATCCACTCATGACTCATCTCATGCTTGCTTTGTTTGTGATTTGGGATACAGGGCAAGTGGGATTGGGAACTGAAATTGATTTGGTATTTTAGTGTATCGTGTTGTAAGAATTTGTACTTTGGGGGGGAAACTGTCATTTTTTTAAACTTTTTTCGCTGGAAAATATCAGTTTAATATCTAATGGTTTAAAAAATCACCAAAGCATCCTATGTAAGTGTACAGTGTTTACGCGAGCCAGACCAGGCTCGCGAGCCCACGAGCCGAGCTTCATTGTGTTCGAACTTGACTCGGTTAACAAACCGAGTTCGAGTCGAGTCGACTCGATAATAACCGAGCCGAGCTCTAAACGAGCTTTTACGACTCGGCTCGGCTCGTTTACAGTCCTAGAATTGTTAGATGATTTTCTCTACATTTGCTGAATATTTACTTACCATACAACCTTAACTATTGAAGTATTTGATGAAATAGAAGATTTTGCTATGTTTAACTAAGGGATAATTTTTTATATACAAACTTACTTATATAAACTGATGTGTTTTAAGAAAATGAGATATTTTAAATTAAAAACAGATTATATAATTAAAAGAAATTAAGCGTCAAAAGATAGGATTACTATATCAGTTTGTAAGGAATAATTTGTATATAGAGTTTATATATGTAACATTACTCTTAATTTAGAAGTTACTTACATGCTAGCAGTAAACAGAGTAGTTGTAGTTTTCACATATGAGCATATGATCTTCTTCAAATAAACTTTTAGGCCACAAATTGTGTGGAAGTTTTGAATTTCTAGCACTGAGCTAATGTTACCAATGAGCATAATAATAGCTAAATAATAAAATAAGAACATTGTATAATTATGTGATCACAAACAGAGGATTTGTCTCCTCATTGTTGGTTGCCACATTTCCTTGCTTGAATTCCATATATATTCGTTAAATTTTGTAAATGACAATTCATTTGTAAGAGTAAAAAATGAACTGCATGTTGTCTTCCCTAAATAGTTATGTTAATATTTCCAATCTTTTTTCTTATGAGAATATCAATGACTCCGTATCAGGGTATGAATTTCAAATATTTCATAAAAAAATTTCATACAAGTTAAAATAAAAACTTATATCTTAAAATTAATTTTTTTTCACTCATTATATCCATGCAGGATCCTACCTAGATTCTCTTTTGTTCTTCGTTAATTATTGCTTCGTCCGTCATTCTCCATCTTTGGTTTCTTATCAATTGAGAAGTGTAACAAAAGTTTGAGGAAGTATTCACTGCTCATCGATTGCGAACTTTCATGTTGCGCTTGTGAGAAAAAGTAAATGAGAAGGGTTTATCGACTAGTATTACCTATTTCAATAAACCATAAACATGCTATTAAATGTTCAATTTTCAACGTATTAGCAATTATTTATTCAGTTTATCTTTATTTGTGAGATTAATAATGTTTTGGTGAGAGCATCTGATCTTAACGATAATTTGTTATTCTACGTGTGATGTGAAGAAAACCAAGTAAAAATGAAACAGAGGCAACAACAGGATAATCAAGAGCAAAAATTATTGAATCAAATAAGATGACTCGAGAAACTTAACAATGACAACATCATAAATTACTCTTGAATGTGATGACTGATGCGTGGGGCAGCATGTATGCATTGGCGGTTAATCAATTCGCAGACGCCATTCCAGCACCTGGGAAGTGGCGTCAATATGCTTCCCATGTTTTGGCAGCGTCCGCGCGGCAGAATCACCGGCGCATGACGGGTTGGGAAGGGGGCCAGAATTCGCAGACGACTACTCCTTTTGGAAAGTGAGGAAAGTAATTACTCTGGATGGGTGAGCATTTAATGAGAAGTCAGGGAAAAGTTATAAGTACTTGGGAGATGGTGACACCGATTAATTGAGAAGAGCACAAAAAATTAAGAAAATAAATTAATGTTTAAATGAATATATGTTAGAACTCGAGTCTAATTAATCAATTCGTCAACACAAACAAATCACAACCAAGGTTCAAGATTAAATTACACACACAATTAAGATAAGATTTATGATAGTTTGTTTATCTTTTTATGGATAAGTTACATCTACATTAAACTCAGGAACGATATGAGCTCGTTGCACTTTCTATTATCAAGATCAATCAAGATTACATAGAATCGACAATCACCAGATCTACACAAATGTAAACTGCAATCAACCTAATAAAATACCCACTAAGTATCCGTAACCCGAGAGAACAACACTCTCACCGGAATGATTAATCTCCCTAACCACTTGAACTGATTACACAAACAATCTGCAAATAACTCACAACCTTAACTCAGAAATCGCACAAAGAGAAAACCCTAACTCTGTGTTACACGATTCTGCGCAAAAAAGAAGTTTATATATGGTTGACTAAGAGATTGATTCTGACCGTTAGATCTAGAGTGCATTCTGCGGTCTAGATTCATTCTGGTTGCTTTGTCTAAAACAACGTCATACTTCTTTACCCAAAACGACGCTGTTTCAGGCTTCCATTTTAACAATATAGTATTTTATGTGTATTTCATTTAATTCCACAACTACCAATTAATTTGTCCTAACACAACTAAAATAATAACAACAAATGATTTATTTATATGTCAATAATTACTTATACGATATTTTTTTTTAGCTAACAAATTCGGTAACCGATTACAACCTCTCATAGTATGAAATGTCGTCAGGAATATAGTATTTATTTATTTTATATAAAATAGGTTTTATAATAATAATCCCTTTAAGATATAATTAAATAACAAAATTCATTTCTTGGTTATAGTATTATCAAAGATTTTCCTATGGTTAAGTTCTTTGTATTAAAATAAATAGTGGAGGGGCAGTATAATAAATATTTATTAATTTATCATGTTTTAAATTCTAATGACATACTAAAGGTAGAGGGATTTATGTTTTTTCTTAAATCTAAAGGGGAATTTTATTATTAGATTAAACCTCAAGAGAAAACCCTATAAAGTATGTTAAAATAGAAACAGTATTAGTATTTTCATTTTCTATAAGCAAGTATTTTAAAACGTTATATTAATTAGAATAAGTTAAATGGTACATACAATAAATTTAAAATTAAATTTATAAATTTGAGCTTGAAAATGTTCATAATTACACAATGTGGGTGGTGATTACTATCGAGAACCACAAAGCGGTCAAACCACAAACGGGCCCGATCGGCCCATATGGAAATTTGGACAAGGCATGGAGGCAGGCCCAAAATGTGGTTAATATAGGCCCAAAGGGTAATAGATCCAACTCGGAGCCATAAAAGAAGTCCAAAAAGGCCTAGAAAAGGGCCAATCACATAGTCACATAGGACCCTAAAAGGTGACCTCGCAAGCATAGGCCAAAATCATGGTTTGGCCGCCATGGGGAAGAGTGAGTGCCCAATGTCATTGCATGTGGTATGTTAAGGATAAAAGTATACTAAACCTTTATTAGACTTTAAACAAGGCATTAAATGATTAAATTGGGGATGACAAGCTAAGGTGCTGCATGCAAGGAGCATAACTGCATGAGTACCACATGACGTAGCCCAAGGTGAGCATAAATTAAAGGCTTTTAATGAATTTTAGACAAGAGACTACAAGGTGAACAAAACACAATACAAGAAAGAGTTCATTACATTAAAGAAGTACAAACATTCTTCTTGGTAAGAATTTAAGAAACTCATTATAGTTATTTATTCCCATGTTATCCCACTACTCAACTCTCCTGAAAACCCCCAACAACACCTTTGAAAAGTCTATCCTTGTACAGACGTATTCAATACATTCCAACAGTATTTGATAAACCAAATAGACCCACGTGTACAGGTCAGAATTATAGTTTTACTCCTCTGAAACTTGGTTGATCATAGGATCCTAAATGATGAGCTACTTGCGTTGTGAAAAATTAACTAAGTTGGTGAGAATGGTGAATGTGGTCAATGGTTTTGATTTATACTCTCAGCGATCAAAGGTTTGACCTCTTATATTTTATTTTAATTTAATCTCTTATATTTTATTTTAATTTAATTTTTAAATTTTTCTCAAATCCTTGAAAATCCTAGAACATCAATAAACTATCAAGAAAAAAGTCCTTTGGCAAGGAATGGGGATTTTGTAGTTATGTCTTACTAACCAATATCAATAGTTCAATACCACACGCACACAAAATTAATGACTGATATTTACAAATTCCCTTAGTAAGATAAAGAAAAAGAAATAGAAAAAAAAAAAAAAAAAAAAAAAAAAAAAAAAAAGCCCACAGAAATCTGGCTAGTTATGCCATGGAGAAATTTATTCAACATAAACTTATTACAAATCTCATTATGAAAGGAAAAATATGAGCAATGTTATACAAGTTCCCTCATTTATAATAACTCAAAACAGCATAAATAGCCTGAACGGCAGCTAAAGCAAGTGCTAGTATTGCAGCAAGAAAAGCAAGCCCAGTCCAAGGGTTTTGGAAATGTCTGTGATAGAAGTGAGATATCCACGTCATCCATTTATTGTTGTAACGTTTTTGGATATTCCTTTTAACATCTAAATATTTGTCAGGATCTGGCACTAACTTGGTTCCAATCTCATTGAATAGTTTAGCAACCTCATCATCACTACCAAGCGAATTAACAAGTATTTTCTTATCTCGTAATTGCTTGACATCTTGTGCACAATCAATGAGTTCATCAAGAAAAGCTATATAAGAGGACACCCCGAAATCATTAAAAAAATCTGGACACCTTTCATAGGCTATCAAGTTTAAGAACTTGGATCCTGTTGAGTCGTCCACAATAATAGGAGGAATCTTCAATGTTCCAAGACTAAAAGTAATGTCTGTCAAACAACCTTTATTACGAGGCCTCAATCTAATCCCTGCAGATTGAAGTTCCACGACATTACGAAAAAATTGGAGTCCGTGTGTTTGTTTATAAAGAAAATTCTCAACTGCCTTGCCCATGCACTCAATCCAATCTCTAAATTTGTCAACTGGCGCAGTTACGAATTCGAACAAATGCTGAATTATCCGTTGACTTATAGAGCCTGGCATTTGGTTTTCGCCAACAGATAGGAGCATCGTTGTTCGCAACAAGTCGAGAAGATGAGTGGGATGTTTCTCTTGGCGTTGCTGATGTTCCTCTCTTGGTGCCTTAATGCTATCAAAGATGAACTTATCGATTGATTTCCTCATCATCTCACTATTGTTACTGAAGCAGCTTATTAATATATGAAGGACTTGATAAGGAAGCTGGTTCTCTAGCAAGAACAAATCTTGACGTATTAATACTAAGCAATCGACTTTTATTCTCAAATCCTTGAACTTCTCATGAGCATTTTGCTGCGTAGTATAGTACATATATTGAAGTACTGTACAACCATCCACAAAAAATATCCAGGCAAGTTGGTCATCATTGAAGCATTTTATTTTCTCCTCCTCATAGCATTTTCTCAAATCTTTGATCTTTTTCTTAATTTCGCCAAATAAAAAATCTTTGCTCAAACGATGTTCTTTAATGAATGCACATGCTAATTTAAGTTTCAAACTTTCCATCAGCTTCAGATTTGCATTTTCATGGTGGTAAGGGCCTATTGAAATCACCCTTGGTTCATAGTATTTCTTAAAATTGTTGGTATCACGTAAGATGTAAGGAACCTTTTGTATCTTCGGTTGAGGTTCTTCTTGTCCTTGAAGGCCATCTAACGTGACTAAAACATCATCAAAGGATTTGGACATCTCCACATAGCTGCTCTTGGGGGAGTTCGATTCTTCTTCATCAATTGCATCATTCAAATTCTTGTTATCTTCTATGGCTGCATCATTAGCTGTGTTTGATAGAATTCTGCCTCCACACTATGATGAAGACTCTAAATTAGATTCAAATATTGAAGAGAAAGATGTGGACATAAAGTGTTTATTTATAAAACAAAGAATAAATATTAGCTTAAATATAAATGAGAAGTTGATCAGGGATGTAACTGAGAATTTGTTTTCAATTATGCTAAACTTTTCTCGGATAATAATACTCATATAATGGTATTATATAGAATATATCTCAATATATAAGAAATTTTATATTATTAACAGTAAAAAAAAAAGAATGGCAAATAAATACTCGTTTAATCAGTGGAGCAAACACATCAAGCCATGGGCTAGAAACAGATCCGGGTACAACATATAGATTTTTTAAAATAAAAAGTAAATACATTTTATACATTAACTAAATATGTGAGAATGTATATATTAAGATAGAAATTGAACTCTTAATTAAAAATAACTCAGTCTTAACTAAGACCACAAGTGCAAAACTGCAAACATAACGTGTCTTACAGGTGAGGGTTGATGAGATGCCGACGCAGGAGGAGCGGAAATGGGGTCTTCCTCATAGATTTCAATTACGTGAGAGGGGACATCCCCAGTAATTACTTCACAGCCATCACTTGTTCCATTGGAATTGGTGCAGGTTGTCACTTTGTCCATTACAATTAGCTGTTTGCGTTCATTTATTTTAAATATTGATTATAAACATTTAAATTCAATTTAAATAAAAGTTAAATATCATATGCATGGGATCCAATTTTTCCTAACACCTACTAGATATCAAAAGGATTTTCTACGTCCACGGGTCGTTAATTCCGTTTTTCGTTTTGACAAAATTCAATGTAAGAAATTAAAATTTCTATTTTCAATATTTGATAATGGATTAATTTGATATATCAGCTTAGAAACTATTTTATTTGGGCACACCCAAACTTTTTAGAAACAATCAACAATTCTTCATAGTCATAAAAAACGTACCTTGAAACTCCTGTCATAGGAGGTTTATAATAACCATTAATACAAAACATCCCAAAGGTGGTCTCAAATTTTTTAGCTCAAATGATGTATAATCCTATTGGGTGTTCAATGTAATGAAGTGGTGATTTGATGAATAATATAACAATGCCAAATAAATGACATATCATGTGAAATGCGAAAAAAAAATTCAAAAAATTTACAGAAAAATTAAGTTTAAAATACATTATAAAACATAAAAAAAAAATATTTTTATTTACAGTTTAAATTCAACAGAAAATTTAATAGGCATAATCATCCCTGAACCCATAATTGAGAATTATAAACAAAAAAAATGATAATATCTTTGGAGATTTATTCTAATAAACCTAATTCAATACATTGCCGAATTTTTTTATTTAATTAATTTAAATTTATTTCTAAGGGAATTTATGCATTTTAATTTTTAATTAATTTTAATAGTAACATTAACAGTTTTTTTTCAGTTTTTTTAATATATTTGGAAATGACGTGGCATTGTCATTTAATTAACAAATAGTTTATCCACAATCAATGAGTTGACCTTTTAAATTCACATTTATATTTATTTTTTATTGCATCGCTTTCTAATAATGTATTACTTATTTTGAAACTTGCTTACTTTTTAATAAATTTATGAAAAGAACTTTCCACAAATTGATAATACCCTTAAATTCCAGGTGTTTGCTATTGTTTTCTACAAGGAGAATTTCCTAAATTACAACTGCTAAATGTATTAACTGCTTATCTCAATACTCAACTACTCCACTGTTCTCAACTAAAGATAGAGGAGATGTATACGGTATACTAGTTTTTATACAGGGGGAGTCGTGGTGTGGTGCTTGCACTTCCCAATCATAGTGGTATTATCGTATTAGTAAATTTTTCCATATAAAAAATATTTCTGAAAAATAAAAGATTAATTAATTGAGAAAGCCAATGTATAAAACCAAACTTTAAACAAAATGAAAAAGAGACTTTCAGCATTAAACTAATTACGGCTGCAATTACCTGACAGTAAAAGTGACTTACAGATCTTCCAGATTGCGGAGGCCTCAATGCCAATGGTGGCTCGGTGCCTCTTCCCACATCTCTTGCTTGATGCAGATTCTTGGATTCTTAATCCACGCTCCGAGCTTTGCAACTTTGTTAATGCTTTAACTGTTTGATAGTTTAATATCCGAGTTACTAACTTATTTATACAGGAGAAGACAGACTATTCGAGTTTCGACAATATTAGGATGCGAAAGTAGGGTGGGTTGGAAAAATTTCCGAACACGTACACCTTCAACACGTATGTATATTAAAATAAAAACATGACAAATATAATTAGATGCCCCCACCAATTCTATGACAGACTACCACCCCATTGGACAATTACAAAGTGAATAAAAAGTCCTGCTGATATTTTTTTCCAAAACTTATCAATCATTTAGTTAAACGTGGATGATGACATAAGGTGATATATCCAACGTACGATAAACTTTTCCCATGGACTATTTCTAGAAAAAGAAATTTAGGTTTCATTTTTCGCCTCCTTATTTCTCCTTATTTTGACCCAGTCCAATTATTTTTTCTTACATCTAATTAGTACATATTACCTAAACTTTTATTTGGAAAACAAGACAAGACCCAAGTTGTAGATTGTAGTTTTCGTAGACCCAAGTAGTAGGTTGTAGTTTTCGTAGACTCAAAATTCTAACACATAAATTACTTTATACAAATTGACAGAATTAAATACAAACAACATTGCAGGGAGTCAAAGAAGATTGCCTCACTCACAAACTTTGTCTAATAAGCTTGCCGTTTCCATTGGGCAGTTTTTTATTTAAATGACGAAAATAGATGAATCTTTAAAGTTTTGTTAGTTAAGGATTCTGTTCGTTAACATTTTTCTTGCGCATAACTTCTTCCAAGTAAACCATAGTGAGTAAAACATTATAGGAGAAAAATGATGGAATATATGAGACATAGATGATGTGTTATGTGCATTTTGCCTAAAATTTTATTTGGAAAACAAGACAAGACCCGAGTTGTAGGTTGTAGTTTTCGTAGACCCAAAATTCTAACACATAATTTTCTTTACACAAATTGACAGAATTAATACAAATAGCATTGCGTGGAGTCAAAGAAGATTGCCTAACTCACAAACTTTGTCTAATAAGCTTGTCGTTTCCATCGGGCAATTTTTTATTTAAATGATGAAAATAAATGAATGTTTAAAGTTTTGGTAGTTAAGGATTCCGTTTGTTACCATTTTTCTTGCGCATAACTTCTTCCAAGTAAACCACAGTGAGTAATACGTTATAGGAGAAAAATGATGGAATATATGGGACATAAATGATGTGTTATGTGCACTTTACCTAAAATTTTATTTGGAAAACAGGACAAGACTCGAGTTGTAGGTTGTAGTTTTCGTAGACCCAAGTTGTAGGTTGTAGTTTTCATAGACCCGAGTTGTAGGTTGTAGTTTTTGTAGACCCAAAATTCTAACACATACATTTCTTTATACAAATTGATAGAATTAAATACAAATAGCATTGTGGGGAGTCAAAGAAGACTGCCTCACTCACAAACTTTGTCTAATAAGCTTACCGTTTCCATTGGGCAATTTTTTATTTAATTGACGAAAATAAATGAATGTTTAAAGTTTTGGTAGTTAAGGATTTCGTTTGTTACCATTTTTCTTGCGCATAACTTCTTCCAAGTAAAACACGGTGAGTAATACGTTATAGGAGAAAAATGATGGAATATGTGAGCCATAAACTATGTGTTATGTGCATTTTACTTAAAATTTTATTTGGAAAATAGGACAACACCTGAGTTATAGGTTGTAGTTTTCGTAGACCCGAGTTGTAGGTAGTTTTTGTAGACCAAAAATTCTAACACATAAATTTCTTTATACAAATTGAAAGAATTAAATACAAACAGCATTGCAGGGAGTGAAAGAAGACTATCTCACTCACGAACTTTGTCTAATAAGCTTGCCGTTTCCGTTGGGCAATTTTTTATTTAATTGATGAAAATTGTTGATGCGTGATTTTTACACCAACTAAACACATGTGTGTAATGCTGAGCTGGCCCAGAAGACATACGTGAATATTAAGGATAATGAGAGTAAATGCAAGGAGACAAGCATTTTAAAGTGGCTCGGATGCTAAGGAAGCAAGTTATACGTCCACTGTTGTATTATTAATGATAGAGGTCAGGTCGCATGAGCTGACTGACTGACTTACAATTGATGATACGAGAAGGAAAAGACTTTAATTACAAAGAAAACAGCTAATCAAGAGTAAAAATGCGTGAATCCCCTGAATGAGAGAGGAGCTCTTAATTTATAGTGGGATGGATTAAGGCAATCATCACTGAATCTGCGAGTTGGTGAGATTATCCGTGCAAATCCTTCTTTATGTCACATTGCCCACCTTCCATAGTGATTTGCGCGATTTGGAGCAGGGATTGGACACGTGGGATCACCACAGCTCCTAGCTGGCCTGGTGCGCACCCACTATTCTGACAGAAGTAGGCTGCGGGTGTACCCATGCTCTGACTTTTACAAGTTGGCTAGACCTTACGTCAGCCTTATTTTTTTTGGGCATAACAGAAGTCCCCTAGTTTTTAAGGTTTGAGGATCGAACCTTGGACACTACAAGTCATGCCATGGGTGGATGCTTTTGTGAAATCCTGGCGATCTCAACCTGTTTAGAAACAGATCAGAGTAGCACTGTTTTGCGAACACGACCTCGTAGGGTTATTGCTCGTTAAGGACGAGCGACCTGACTTTGTCAGGCTTTATCTGTTGTACTTTTAGTACAGGTGCATTTAATGAAGCAGTCCACGCTGGCAAGCATGTCCTGGGCAAGGTAAGTGCCAACCAGTCTCATTAAATGCGCTGCGTGCTGGCATGATTTCATTTTTCAGAACATTAAATGCGTGACATGCTGAAATGACAAACCATACCAGGGCATTAAATGCAAATTGGAGCACAATTAATGCTGTTAGTGTATATTAGTGTATGCCCTAGAAACCATTCGTGTTGTCGGTTTCAGAGCATTTTGTCTTGTATCTATATATATCATAAATAATAGAAGAAAGAGTTCTTCAATTCATATATGTAAATTGCTTCCTTTATTCAGTCATGCATTTAAAATAAAGTATGTATATGAATTGTCCAGATGATTCATTTAATAGGTAAATGAATTATCGAAAAGGGTTCCCTACGGAAGCAATATAAATTTGGGCAACTATATTGTACAGTAGGCATACCGGATGCTTCCGAAAGATATCATGAGTTGATATAAGTACGGATGACGATGATAGTCATGTCACTAGGGCATTGGTATGGATTAACGGTTGGTGAACTGTTTTTCGAACGTGACCGAATAACGACAAATCACTTGGAAAAGCATGTAGTCAATGATTTATCGTTTGGTTATATCAGTGCACGATGTAGTCCTTTGACCTGAGACATTGTAGTCGGATCCGATATGGATGCGTATGGTTCATACGGTGTATAAGTACGAGACTAATCATGTTTCGTACAATAAAGCCTATTTGGTCATGCGTTGTTCATATGCGGAAACGAACGATGGTCAAGAGGGGATCCATTGACTCGGAAATATAGGATCGGGAGTACCGCTGACTCCATCCGGATTCGAGTTCCTAGA